CCCGGAAGAGTTCACCAGCACGTTGGTGTGGAACGTGGCATCAAACCGCTCGTCGGCACTGGGAACGGGAAAAGGTTCCGTGAGCTGGCGCTGCCCCCGGTGCCCCCGGCTGTCATGACCATATCCAGGCAGCTCTGAGGGGCTGCCATTGTCCCCGGGCCCCGGGTCTGAGCGCACCTTACGCGGCCGGCCCGGGGGACGGGTTCCCAGGGGCCACCGTCCACCCCCATTTCATAGAGGCTGAGAGGGAGAAGAGACATCGATGCAAAACAGCCGTCAGGTGCCTCCCGTACCAGCCCCCTCCTGGGGACTGAACCAAAAGTAGGTGCGTGCCCTGACCGGGAATCGAACCCGTAAGCTTTAGAATATGTTTTTTTTTAAGACCACAACGTTTCCTTTTATATCTAAAAATATTTCATAAAGCCGAAACCAGTTTGGGACTGAGGGGTCCCAGGTTCAATTCCAGTCAAGGGCATGTTACCTTGGTTGTGGGCACATCCCCATGGGGGGCGTGCAGGAGGCAGCTGATGGATGTTTCTCTCTCATCAATGTTTCTAACTCTCTATCCCTCTCTCTTCCTCTCTGTAAAAAAAAAAAAAAAATCAATTAAAATATATTTTAAAAAATAAAAATAGCCAAGACCAGATTGGCTCAGTGGATAGAGCGTCAGCCTGCAGACTGAAGGATCCCGGGTTCGATTCCGGTCAAGGACATGTACGTTGGTTGCAGGCACATCCCCAGTAGGGGGTGTGCAGGAGGCAGCTGGTCAATGTTTCTCTCTCACGTTTCTAGCTCTCTATCCTTTTCCCTTCCTCTCTGTGGAAAATCAATAAAATATATATTTTTTTAAAGTTTCAAAAAAATAAATAAAATAAAAAATAAAAAAAAATTCATAAAAACCCAAACACTCCCCCGAGGCTGATGTAGCCACCCGCACAGCACAGCTCAGGGCCCAGCCGTCCTGCCTTGGGCTGCTGATCCCCAGCACCAGCCAGGCCTCTCCTCCGCCAGACGGGGGAGACGTGACTAGCCGTACCCCCCACCCCCACCCCCAGCTGCGTTCAGGAAACCCTGGGACCGCAGGCTCAGGTAGCGCGGAAGGAAGCAATCAAGAAACGCCTGGCTCAGCACCTGGCAGGCCTGCCTTCTTGGCAGCCGCCTTCTCCGCGGGCTGCCCGGCCAGCTGGCTGGCAGCACCGGCCGCCACTGCCAGGGAAAAAAAGCAGCCCGCCCCACAGGACAGACGGCTGGTCTGCAGCAACCGGCCTCTTTTAAAAAATCCTATATACGTTTCCTGATTTCAGAGGAAGGGAGAGGGGGAGAGAGAGACATCCATGATGAGAGAAGCATGGATCGGCTGCCTCCTGGGGGTTGACCCAAAACCCGGGCGTGGGTCCTGACCCGGGCTCAAACGAGAGCCTCTGGGCACCTGGGTTGATGCTCCCTAACTGACCGCACTGGCCGGTGGAGGTCCCTCTCTCTAAAACATGTTTCGCTCTTTGTCACTTCCTCGGCCTCACTGCACCCAGATGCTCTGCATTTGCTACTCGGGTTAGCCCCACTGCTTCTAGAAACTGACCCGCCTGGGCACCAACCAGGCGGCCTTGGGTTACAGACGAACCCCTCGCTTCCCTGCCTTCTCAGAGGCCCTTCACAATGCCCAGTGGGAGCGCTGGTCCAAACTGTAGATACAAGTCCAGGCACACCCACGCAATGCACACACGCACGCACGCTGACCACCAGACAAAGGGGCAAGTGGCAGTGGCTCCCCCCCCCCCCCGGGCTCACCTGTTGTACAGGAGGATGTCCGGCTTCCAGATCTGTCCGTCGGGAAAGCGCACAGTCGCCACGCCTGGGTACTCCGACGTGTTCCACTGCAGGTAGTGATCTGTCCAAGACTGACACGCACAGTGCCGTCAGGAGCACGTATGTCCCCGGCCCCCGAAACTGGCCTAGGACACCACCAGGAGGTCACAGTTCGATTCCCGGTCAGGGCTCATGCCCGGGTTGTGGGCTCCATCCCCAGTAGGGGCCGTGCAGGAGACAGCCCACCCATGGTTCTCGCTCATCATGGATGCTTCTGCCTCCCTCTCCCTTCCTTTCTGAAATCAACTTTAAAGGGGGGGGGGGGGGGAGAGAAAGAAAGAAACGTCACCTTTAACTACGGATTGCTAGTGTGGCCCCCAGCAAGCCATGCGCTCGCTTGTCTAGGAGCCCAATGGGAAGTGACAGAGTTCAGAAATGAACCAGAGAAACGCGTTAGAAATGCGGTTGCCCTGGCCGGTGAGTCTCAATGGATAGAGTGTTGGCCTGCGGTACAGAAGGGTCCTGGGTTCAATTCTGGTCAAGAGTACATGCTCAGGTGGAGGGCTTGATTCCCAGTAGGGCGGGGGCGGGGTGTGCAGGAGGCAGCCAATCCATAATTCTCGCTCATCATGGATGTCTCTCTCTCCCCCGCTTCCTCTCTGAAATCAATACAAATATATTTTAAAAGAAAGAAATGTGATTTAAAGCCTAGCTATCAGGCCCACAGTTAGAGTCAGGAGAAAAGAAAGAACAGAGACTATTATCAATATAAGGCAGCTTGGAAACCGAGAACCAAGAATGACCGACATTGCACACTGGGAGAAGACAGAAATTTTTTCCTGACTCGGTGACAAATGTCCCGTTCTCAAAGGAGCCCCGGGGAGCATGTGAGTGGCCAGAATGTCCCTCAGAAAGGAAACGGTGCCTGCGCTGCTTCTCCTGGGTCAAACCAGATGATGCCTGACAGGCCCTCCGAAGCAATAAACTAAGCCAGAGAGCAAATCACCCCCCCCCCCCGCTCCCCGCCCTCGCTTCCTCCAAGGACCAGAACGAGGCAAATATGACATCAGCTGCCTACCCCTCCTCCGGGCCAAGTCACCGGAATGCCGGACGGAAGCAAGGGCGAGGAGGACGATGGAAAGGCAAGATCCTACCGGCTGGTCAGGAAGAACTCATTGTGCTCTCGCTGTTCGCCTTCCTGCCTCTGTCCTCGGGAAGCACAGAAACGTGGAGCACCTGCAGGAGCTTCCGCTGGGGGGCCCAGGCGTCCAGGAGGTGGACGTAGATGTGGGAGCAGGAATTCAGCAACGTGAGACCCCAGGAGCCCCATTTCCTGTTCCCATGTCCACCCTCCCTCAGAACCCCGGCCTTCCACTGCTCTTGTATCTGTAGTGTATTTTTTAAAAATATATTGTATTGATTTTAGAGAGAAGGGAAGGAGGAGAGAGGGGGAGGGAGGGGGACATCGATGGGCTGCCTCTTGCACTCCCCCTTCTGGGGGAGCAAGCCCACAACCCTGGCCTGTGCCCTGACCGGGAATTGAACTGGTGACCTCTAGGTTCATCAGTCGACACTCAGCCACTGAGCCACTGCTGGCCGGGCTTTAGCCTTCCTTTACACTGCGCATTGCCCAGCCTGATGGGAAGTGGCTTGGGAGCAGCTGAATAAGTAAAGGCGATGACAGGGATGAGCTTTAAAGCAAACGGAGCGGAGGATGCCTTCATCAGAACCGAGCTGTGCCTGAGAGAGCCCAGGTCTCCGGGACTCCTCCAAGCAGGGAGGGTGTGCGTTTATGGACTCAAACGGTGCCTGACCATCCAGCTATGGGCTTCTCCTGACAATCAGCACCCTTCCGCTCAAATCGCCAAATCTTTCCCTTTTAATCCTCACTCGAGGATGTTTTCATTGACTTTTTTTTACAGGGAGAGGAAGGGGAAAGGAGGGGAGAGAGCGAGAAGCACCGATGGGAGAGAGAAACATCAATCAGTTGCCTCCCATGCACACCCAGACCAGGGATGAAACCCACAACCTAAGGAGGTGTCCTGTCTGAGAATCGAACCTGCAACCATTTGGTGTCCAGGATGGCGGGCCTGGCTTTTCTCCCAGGACCTCTGCTGCCCCTACCGTCCACACACGAGCCTCTCAGAAGCCAGGGCAGGGCCATCCGAGGGCGGGGCCTGCCCTGGTCTCCACTTACCATCTGCAGCCAGATGTTGGTGGTGAGGACCTGGTTCTTCTCGTCCTGGAAGGGGAAAAGGAGAGATTGTGACTGGAGGATACGGTTTGCAAAAGGGCCTGCCCCGCCGCTCTGAGAGCAGCCCGGTTCCTGGGACTGCGGGGACGGGTGGGAAGTGGCAGGCGCCAGAGTCCAGCTGCCCTCTTCACTCGGAGGTAACACGCATTTATCACCGAGCCCTTACGAAAGGCTGAAAGTACAAATAGAAAATGAAAACCCTGCCCTCACCAGTGTGGCTCAGTGGATAGAGCGTCGGCCTTCGGACAGAAGGGCCCCAGGTTCGATTCCGGTCAAGGGCATGTACCTTGGTTGCAGGCACATCCCCGTGGTGGTTGTGCAGGAGGCAGGTGAATCGATGTTTCTCTCTCATCGATGTTTCTAACTCTCTGTCCCTCTCTCTTCCTCTCTGTAAAAGGTCAATAAAATATATATTTTTTTAAAAGAAAAATGAAAACCCTGCTACCCCACCACATGGAGGTGGCACCTGCTAATGGGTTAGCTTATTGTTCTATTTTAAAAAATAATTTATATAACTAGAAAATTAAAATGGGCACAAAGTCCAATATTTTAAAAAAACAAACAAACAAAAAAACCTCCCCCAAGTATAAGTTTATTGATTTTAGAGAGACGGAGGGACAGGGAGAGAGAAATATCCATGATGATAGAGAATCAGGGATTGCCCGCCTCCTGCACACCCCCTACTGGGGATGGAGCCCACAACCCTGGGCATGTGGCCTGACCGGGAATCGAACCCTGAGCTCGTGGTTCCTACGTGGACGCTCGACCGCTGAGCTGGGCAAGGACTTGTTCTTTGGAATGGACTTCGAGGGCCAGCCGGAGTTCCGAACAGGTGGCCTGCTCTCGTTAATTGCATCACGCCTGTCTGCTCGGGAAAATGCTTCTGCGGTTTGGGAGTCTGATTGCTACCGATCTAATTAAAAGGCTTTCTTCTTCCCAGCACCCCGCCTGAAACCTCATTACAGCGGAGCGGGCTTTCTGCGGAGCGCACAGCGTGGGGCCGAGCCGGCATCTCAACTGCATCAGCTCGGCGCAGCCAGCCAGCCAGCCAGCGCCCACTGTCGCGGTGCCAGGTAGGGACGCCTCCAGGGGACAAGCTCACGGGACCGGCAGGCGGGCTGCCGTCTGCATCCCGGAGTGGGTCCCCGGCCTGCCCTCCCCGTCCACTCGCTGGCGCAGCCTCTCGGCTCTCTGTCTGCTCCATGACAAGGTGTCAGAGCTCCTTCTCGCCCCACCCCCCAGTGCAGTACCCCCTCTTTCCTCCCCAGATTCCCACGCCGAAAGGTCACCCTCAACGGTGAGGGTATTTGAGGCGGGACCTTTGCCCGGTGATTAGCTCAGAAGGGTGCGGCCCTTGTGACTGGGATTAGTGCCCTCACCAAAGGGATCCTGGGCTCTGGCCGATGCGGCTCGGTGGGTGGTTGAGCATTGACCTGTGAACCGGGAGGTCACGGTTGGATTCCCAGACAAGGCACATGCCCAGGGGGCCTGCTTGATTCCCAGTAGGGGGCATGAAGGAGGCAGCCGATCAATGATTCTCTCTTTATCATTGATGTTTCTCTCTCTCCCTCTCCCTTCCTCTCTGAAATAAATAAAAATATGTTTTAAATAAATAAATAAATAAATACATGGGACTTGGGTTTCAGGGGTCTTCAAACTTCTCTCATTATGAGAATCACCTGGTGGAGTTGTTAAAACACAGATTCCCGGATCCCAACTATAAGAAGTGCTATCAGGAATCTGTGTTTTAACACCTCCACCAGGTGATTCTCATAATGAGAGAAGTTTGAAGACCCCTGGGTTATATCCATCCATTCATCCACTCATTCATCCACTCATCCACTCATCCATTCATTCACCCACTCATTTATTATTCACTCACTCATTATTCGCACATCCATTCAATCTTCCAGCCATTCATTCACTCATTCATCCCCTCGCTCATTCACTATTCATTCATTCATCCACTCATTCATTGTTCACTCATTCATACATTCACTCGCTCATCGGTTATTCGCTCATTCATTCACTAATTCACTAGCATTCATGCAATGAATATTGATGGAGCACTTCCTGTTTGAGGCATTTATGCCAGGATGACAGGTACAGGCACTCTAAACGGACATGGTCTCTGAGCTCTGTGGGGTCGGGGGTCACACAATTCAGCGTGATACGTAACCTCAAGTAGTGACAGGCCCTGGAGACCGGAGAGGACAGAGGCAGGCTTTCCCTGGGCTGCGGCAGGGGGCGGGGAGAGGGGGGAAGAGACCAGGAGCAGAGAGCCCTGTGGATGAGCCTCCCGTACACAGCTACGATCCAGGAAGCAGGCTCGTGACGTCTAACAACTACAAAAAATGCTGACTTCACCGCTCTCCTGGGAGAGCAGCTGAGAGACTCTGAGTCCCAGGCCAGCGACTGGGGCCGTGTGTGCTGCACAGACACCGAGGGAACCCTCTTTCTTCCGTGTCCGTCACCGCGGTGGGCCGTGTCGGACATGGCGGGCAGCCGTGTCTCGTGGCTCAAACGGCAGATTACAGACCGCGTCTCGGCCCTCACCCTGAGCCGTGGGCCGGGCCAGGAGCGTGGCTTAAGCACCACACCAGCCTGGCTCCGTGGCTGAGCGCCCGCCTGCGAACCAGGAGGTCGCGGTTTGATTCCCGGTCGGGGCACGTGCCCAGGATGTGGGCTCTGCCCCAGGAGGGGGCGTGCAGGAGGCGGTCGATTCGTAAGTCTCTCATCATAGATGTTTTTCTCTCTCTCCCTCTCCCCGCCTCTCTGAAATCAGTAAAGATACATTAAAACAACTGTGCTTAAGCAGCTCCCTCCCTCTTGACCACGTGCTCCCTGCAGAGCACCCGGCAGGACCGAGACACACACAGTTACTGTGGGGGCGCCCCCACCGCCCCCCTGACTGAACGGGAGCAGTGGCGGTACTGACTGCCGCGTGCGTGTGCGTGCGTGTGCGTGCGTGTGTGTGTGTGTGTGCACGTGAGAGAGAGAGAGAGAGATGTTGAGATAAATGCACTCTATTTAAGGTTCGGCCGTTATTTTCAGGGTCTCACTTGCTGACATCCCCAGGATGACAGGCACAGGGGAGGACCTCGTGCTTCATTTTTTCTACCGATCGCCTGCCTTTGCCTTTCTGATGGGAAGGAGTCGGCTTCTTATTCTGAACGTAAATTTTTTTTTGTCAGCTCTAAATATCTCGCTGACTCAGGGAAAAACACCCTCTCCACGTTCTCCTCTTTAAACCGGGGGGAGGGAGAGAAGAGGAATGAGGAAGAAGGAGTAATTCTCGCTCTAAACGCCAGAGTGCTACGCAGATGGGGTTCATATTACCCAGCGGGTTTCCGTGCCAACGGGAATGTAGACAGTGAGATGGATGGCCACAGTTTCTCCCGACACCTGCACAGAAGCAGGGGGAAGGCGGCGGCGGAGCCGCAGAGCCCCGGGGAGCCAGGCCGCCCCCTCGCTGCGGGAGAATAATGGCCGTGGAAATGCAAGACAGCACTTTACACATTACCAGGGGAGCCGTACGCCACGGCCGATGCACAGCTCTTCCAGAAGATCGATTTCAAAAAGCATTAGATGCTTAAATCAAAATGCATTTTTAAAAATATTTTAAATACGTTTTTATGGACTTCAGAGGGAGGGAGGGAGAGGGAGAGAGAGATGGAAATGTCAACGATGAGAGAGAATCATGGACCGGCTGCCTCCTGCACGCCCCGCACTGGGGATGGAGCCCACAACCTGGGCATGTGCCCTGATGGGGAATCGAACCGTGACCTCCTGGTTCCTAGGTCGATGCTCAACCACTGAGCCACACCAGCCGGGCAAACATCATGGGAATTTCTATTAGAAGGCTCCAAATGACTTCCCCCTTCTCTGAGTAGAAGGCGGCCTGAAAGGCAGTTTACAAGGAAGATCCCTGTGGCAGCAGACTTGTCATAACTTCCTCTGTAAAGCCGAGAGCTCGGCGCCCCCTTATGTCCCAGAGCCAGAGAGGGCTGCGAGGGGTAACACGCGTCCCACCATAAATGGGGACCCGTGGCGAAGGGCCTGGTAAACACGCTTTAACCCAGCACTGCCCTTCTGCCGTCCGCAGTGAGGAGCGAGGGGCTCCCGGGAGGACGGTGAGAACCGCTGGAGAGCCTGGACCATGTGGCTCAGTGGTTGAGCATCGACCTCTGAACCAGGAGGTCACTAGCAGGGCACAGGACTGGGCTGCAGGCTCGATCCCCAGTGTGGGGTGTGCAGGAGGCAGCCAATTGGATGATTCTCTCATTTTTAATGTTTCTATCTCTCTCTCCCTCTCCCTTCCTCTCTGAAATCAATAAAAATATATTTTTTTATAAAGAGAAAGAAATATAAATTGGAGAGTAGTTTCGAAACACTCCCCCGCCCCCAAAATTATCGCCACAATTTTTCACATACAATGTCTGGGACACAATTTAAAAATAACCAACCAGGCTTAGCTGCATCATGAATCATTTCAATAAATGCTTTTTAAACGTTTTCTAAAATAAAGAACTGGAATAGGGATTGGATATGCAATGATGATGAGAGTTATGTAATAGTGGGACAAGAACACAATTTCATTTTAAAGCTCCTATTTGTTTAGGACTTGGCCTATTTGTGTCATTTTTAGATTAATGCCTGCTAATTATTGTTTAAGGTGCCATAATGCTGTTAGACCATTTTAATATATATATTTTTAATGTATTTCTTTATTGATTTCAGAGAGGAAGGGAGAGAGAGAGAGATAGAAACATCAGTGATGAGAGAGTATCATGGATCTATTGCCTCCTGCACGCTCCCCCCCCCCCCCCCCACTGGGGATCGAGCCCACAACCCAAGCATGTGCCACTGATCAGAACCAAACCTGGGACCTTCCATTCTGCAATCCAATGCTCTATCCACTGAGCTAAACCAGCTAGGGCCATTTTAATATTTAGGTATGTCTCTACACCTCCTAGAACCAGGGAAAAGATAGGAGGGTTGTACCGATGTCTTGAGTGATCATAATTTGGGTAATTACCTCCTTAATCCTTTTTATTGTTTACTTTGGTTTGTAGTCTTAAAAAGTAACACTTCTCACCCAGCTGGTGTGGCTCAGTGGTTGAGTGTTGACCTACGAACCAGGAGGTCACTGTTCGATTCCTGGTCAAGGGCACATGCCCGCGTTGCAGGCTTGATGCCCAGTAGGGGGCGAAGAGGAGGCAGCCATCCATGATTCTCTCTCTCCCTTCCTCTCTAAAATCAATTTTTAAAATATTTTTTTTAAATAACACCACTCAAATCATTACTAAGACAATGACTTCATTGCTCCTGGGACCGTCTTCGTAGATTGTGTGCAGGTGTGTGGTTTTCATAGCTAACACCTGACCCCATTGAGTTAGCGTGGCAGCACGTTTAAATACTGGCTAGCAAATGCAGACCTATCAGTGTGACCAACCAGAACAGAGAGCCCCCACAGAGGTACCTGGTGACATACACACCTCTGGGGTCCTGAGCTTCCCCACCGTGCCTGCCCTCTGCCATAGCTAACCCCAAACGCACCCCCGCGGGGTGCCACTGTCTGGGGGCAGAGCTTCCCAGAAGGAGAGCCTGCAATCCTGAGTCTACAGAAGACCCCACACCGTCCGGCCTGACGATGCGCCTCACATGTATGTGTGAGGTTGTACATGTATTGTGAGGATGTACATGTGTGTATGCGGGTGTACACGTATGTGTGAGTATGTACATGTGTGTGATGGTATACACGTATGTATGCGGGTGTACATGTATGTGTGGGGCTGTACATGTATGCGTGAGGGTGTACATGTGTGTGTGAGGATGAGCTGGGTCGCACTGTTCATGCTCAGTCACTTGCCTTCTGAAGACGCCTGCATAACTGTGCGCTACTCTTACGCATATCCACCCTGGAATGGCCTTTCAATGCGTGTGCACCGGCGAATGACTAAACGGCGCCAATTAGAAAGAAATATTGCGGGAACCACTGGCAGTTTAGCACCTCCCATTTGCACCACTTCCCAATGTCTTACGTACTATGTCATTCCCAGCCCATGAAGTA